CAGAAGTACTCCAAAATGTTATGGCTTTAAATAATTCAGGGCCCAGTCTTTTACAAAGACAAATTCACACTCCAGGAAAGGAACGAATAAAACAAAACCACACAAATAGAATAAATGGCAAGGCCCTTTCCTGGTTAAGAATGGCATTTGGAGAAAACCCTGCTGATTAAATTATTAGTATTCAACTAAGGCTCAGCATTCCGGACAAGAGATTGGATTAAACATGAGCCACACACAAGAGAGGAGCTGTATGCAAATAAAGGATGCAGATTTTCATGTCCCATTGGTTACTTAAAATTAGCCAATGGGAGGAGGCCACACAGCCTACTTCCAACCAGTATAAATACTTCTCTTACTCTTTTTTGCGCGTTACTTTGTCCCCTTTTTTTCTGTGAAATATACTCTTCCACGAGAGCTAACTATGTCGGGACGAGGGAAACAAGGTGGTAAAACCCGCGCCAAGGCCAAGACCCGCTGGGCCGGGCTGCAGTTCCCGGTGGGCCGCGTGCACCGCCTGCTGCGCAAGGGCAACTACGCCGAGCGGGTCGGGGCCGGCGCGCCGGTCTACCTGGCGGCCGTGCTGGAGTACCTGACGGCCGAGATCCTGGAGCTGGCGGGCAACGCGGCGCGCGACAACAAGAAGACGCGCATCATCCCGCGCCACCTGCAGCTGGCCATCCGCAACGACGAGGAGCTCAACAAGCTGCTGGGCAAGGTGACGATCGCGCAGGGCGGCGTCCTGCCCAACATCCAGGCCGTGCTGCTGCCCAAGAAGACCGAGAGCCACCACAAGGCCAAGGGGAAATGAGGTGCTTGGATGGCGCTTTTCCTTATCCATAAAGCAACAGCATGACATCAAAGGCTCTTTTCAGAGCCACCCACTGTTTCAATGAAACGAGCTGCCATGCTTGATATAAAATGCCATCTCAGGTTTTGAAGTAAAGTCCCTTTAAAAGGGGTATGTAAGTGGGAAACTCAAAGCCAGGACTGACTGGGACAATGTATGTCCTAGAGGCTCAAAACATGCTTGATTTAAAAAGGCTAACTGTGGTGACATGAGAACTCCCATTAGCGGATATTAGAAAATAGATATTTGAAAATATCCAGGGGTACCTACATCCTCCACCTCGGTTCAATAGTTTGTAAAGAGATTACACATCTGCTAAGCCAATTAGGGATACACTGACAGCGCAGCTAAAGAGCTTGCATTTTGCAGAAAGCATTTTCCTGGGCTCACAATAGTGCCACACCCAAGGAAATGCTGTGCTCAATGTCCATTTCCACAGCCCTCTAGGTGCCTCGCAAGTATTTTCGATAGGTGCTTTGTGAGCCAGTTTGCTGGAGAATTCTGCGTTGGTTTGTGCGGAGGTTGCATTGTTTGGCATTACTCCATAAACTGTCAGTGCAGAATTTTCCCCACAGTCGATGGAGGTGCAAAAGGGTAAAGTAATTACGTCAGGGCGGATGCGGTGAAGGGCAGGGCGCTGTATTCGTCCACCAGCCTGAGTGCAGTTCTTAATCCGGGCATTCAGCATCGAGCCGAGCCAATCCGGGCAGGGCGCGGGAAATTTTGAATGTTTCTGGGCCCAATAGGTCGTTGCCTGACGCTATAAAAGAAGGGTGGCCTTTCTTTCCGGTTCAGACGTCCGTTTCAAGGCAGTTTCTGCACGTTTTTGTTATGGCCCGCACAAAGCAGACGGCGCGCAAGTCCACCGGCGGCAAGGCTCCGCGCAAGCAGCTGGCCACCAAGGCGGCCCGCAAGAGCGCCCCGGCCACGGGCGGCGTGAAGAAGCCGCACCGCTACCGGCCCGGCACCGTGGCGCTGCGCGAGATCCGCCGCTACCAGAAGTCCACCGAGCTGCTGATCCGCAAGCTGCCGTTCCAGCGCCTGGTGCGCGAGATCGCGCAGGACTTCAAGACCGACCTGCGCTTCCAGAGCTCGGCCGTCATGGCGCTGCAGGAGGCGTGCGAGGCCTACCTGGTGGGGCTGTTCGAGGACACCAACCTGTGCGCCATCCACGCCAAGCGCGTCACCATCATGCCCAAGGACATCCAGCTGGCGCGCCGCATCCGCGGGGAGAGAGCTTAAGCGTTCCTGAGACCTTGAGGAGTACCCCCACCCCAAAGGCTCTTTTCAGAGCCACACACTTGGTCCGTCAAAAGTAGTTGTGAGAAAGCGAATTTCTGCCTGCTTTTGTGTACTCAGGAGGCAGTGGTTTAGGCCCAAGGTGTCTGGGTACTCCACTTCTGAAGCCAGGAATCGGTCTGGTTTTGATGGTTTACAGTCTCCACCTATGGAAGTGGCTATAATTAGTAGTTTAGTGCAATCTTAGACCCAAAGTCACTATTGCAAATGTAATAACTGACTGCTTATTTTCACTGTGGCCCAAGTTTTTCTTTTGAATGGGCATTCAGCACACAGCATTTTAGCCTTACCTACAGCATTCATGGAAAAGCTTCACCCACTGATTTGTTTCACAATTCCTTTTACCTTCTCACTATCCAGAAGTTTATGCTGGTACAAAAAATGTGAGCTAAGTTAATGGCAGTTTCTTTGTGAGTAGTGGCTCAAAGCAGTGAATGCAAGAAAGGTGTCCTCTTAGTGACGACAGGAGACAACAGTTATTAAAGTTATTGGTATCAATCCTGGCCTGTCTAGTAAAAACCCCTCAGCAGGGAGTCATGGCTGAGAGGTCTCTGCAGACAAACCTCATTCCAGTAATTCTCTTCCTTCCCCCTCCCTTTGCTTCTTTCTGTTCAACTTAGCAGAAAAGCATTTAGGTTTTGCCATTTCATTGGGCCTTTGTTTCTTTCTGGGGCTCCCTATCACCTAAAAAGTAAGTTAAAAGCGTTTGTATGCTTAAATCCTGTTAATGTTGTATACCTGGTTGCTTTTTAGGCCTCGCTGGAGACCCTAAGAATGAGAAGGTGAGGTTTGCCTCCCAGCCCATGCATGCCTGTTGTAATCCATGGGTGCTCTTCCTCGAAAACCGAGGTTTCGTTCTCCAAGCATGAGAAAGACTAGACACAGAAGCTGAAGTTCCCAGCAGATGCTGTTCAGGTTTTCTTTGTTAGACTTTGGTGAGAAGATCACAATTTTCAGAGAAGATGAGAAAGAAGTCAAGTTTGAGGTCCGTTTCGGAGACTTAAAAGTTGAACCTTCGGACTTTTCCAGAAGTGCCTTAGTGACTTGAGTGCTTTAGGGAGAAGTAGCCTAAAAGAGTCTACACAGTGCCTGGAACTGCCCCCTAGGCCTGGCTGCTGGAGGCTGCGACTGCCAGGCACCTTTTTTCCAAGGAATATTCTGGACAGTCATCTTTACACATAGTGGATTTCAAAAACAAAACAGAGTCTGTCCTTTTGTACTTGGGGACGGGTTCAAAAAGTTCATAGAGAAGTGGAATTAACGTTTATTTTGATGCAACAAGTTTTGAAATCCAAGCATAATACTTCATCCTGTGCATTTTCCATGACCTTTTTGAAATTCCCCCTTGTGTTAATTAAATACTATAATTAAAGAAAAACAAAAGCCTAATACATGCACATCAATATTTGCTGCTGGGAGTACTGTGCAGAGCTAAAGAACGAGAGCTCGGTGTCATATCCCCGCCTCAGCACGATGTTTACACTAACATCAGCTAATGATAAACCTTATTTCTGTCGGCTAATGATAAGCCTTATTTACGTAGGACCGCTCGGCAACAGTCTCTGCTCTAAAGCCTTTCCTACATGAGCTTATGTACGTTTTCACAAAAGCTGGAATATTATCCTCCCCCACTTCTGACCAACAGATGAAACGCAGGCAAGGTTGTAGGCCACACAGGTATTCATCTGATGGAGAAAGTACAGTATTCATTAGGGGGTGTCCACATTCAGCCTTCAACCTTTCGTGGTCCCTGTAAGGACTGCACAATAAATCAATACCAAATTGATGAGCAGGACAAAGACTTACACATTTATTTACTACATTTTTTATCTGGGATGGGACCCACATAGGGAATACCAAAACAAACTCATATGACTTGAACAAACAGGAAGTTTGCGATAAACAGTTTGCGATAAGACCAAGGGGCTTGGGCTACGGATTTAACAGTATAGAAAAGTCACTGAAAGTGTTAGCTTCACAAGATTTGTTTGTAAATTCTCAGCCTCAACTCCCAATTCTTGATAAGAACGTTGCTTTTTTAAAAAAAAAATTTTTGGAGTGGTTTTTGCTATAGGGCCCGTGCGCTCACCTGAAAGACAGAAAGAAACAGAGAGACAAAAGGACAGAAAGTAAGAAATCACCCCAAGGGGGGATGGCCACGTCGCAATCCCCTCTCCTCCACTCTCCTCTAGGATTCTGGGCACGCACACCCGCCTGGAGTGAGTTTAAGCCACCGGGTCTGGGACTTGAACATGGGAGTTCAGTGACATAGCCTTTAACACCAACTGCTGATCTCCCCTTTTAAAAATTTTGTATATTTTTAGTAAAGACAGGACATCTTTATCCATGGGAGTTTCATTTACTGCTTGTAATATACTGGTCAGAGAGATCTTTCTGAGCCTTTGTTTTAAACTTAAGTAGTGCTAGGCTGGAATAATATATTTTTAACTCCTTCAAGTGCTTGGTCATTAGAAATATAAGCCCTTAGTAAAATTCTCAAATGGAAATGCAGCTTCTAATACAAATAGCAATGTAGTCCAAGCGCAGAAACAACTGAAGGGATGGAAAAGTGAAATTCACTTCCTCTTCTCCAACACAGTCTAGGGTCACGGCCCGGAGGGGGCGGGGCAGAGCGTGAAGCAGCGGCCGCCCAGTCCCTGTTCCCGGTTTCAGTTCTCAAACAGGTCCGATGGCAGCCTATAAGTACTCCACGTGAAGGCCGAAGAACCATCTGCAGCTTGTCAGCGCCATTGTGTTGTTGTCATGTCTGGTCGCGGCAAAGGCGGGAAGGGCCTGGGCAAGGGCGGCGCCAAGCGCCACCGCAAGGTGCTGCGCGACAACATCCAGGGCATCACCAAGCCGGCCATCCGCCGCCTGGCCCGGCGCGGCGGCGTCAAGCGCATCTCCGGCCTCATCTACGAGGAGACCCGCGGGGTGCTCAAGGTGTTCCTGGAGAACGTGATCCGGGACGCCGTCACCTACACCGAGCACGCCAAGCGCAAGACGGTCACGGCCATGGACGTGGTGTACGCGCTCAAGCGCCAGGGCCGCACCCTCTACGGCTTCGGCGGCTGAGTCCCCTCCGGCATCAAACTAATGGCCCTTTTCAGGGCCCCCACTGCCTCCCAGGAAGGGCTGTGCTCATTATTTGCAGCGACCTGGTCTATGCTGCTCTGTCTGCGTGTCGGCCGACTCCTGGGGGGTCCTATCTAGTCGGGCCGCTGATGCTGCCTACGCATCTCCTGTCTGCTGCCAATAGGGCGGGAGCTGGTCTGCAGGTTCGCGCCCCAGCTCCTAGCGCTAGCTTTGTGATCTTACTTTGTAGGGGAGTTCGTAGGGTTTGAGCCGGGCAGCCACATTACCGAACAGGGGTAGAAACGGTTCGCCTTTCAGTGAGGTCGAAGTGCGTGCGTGTCTGCGTGGGTTAGGACTCCTGTGGTGGCTGATGTCCCAGTGTCTGCTCTCCCTCCCGGGTTTCTGCCCCCGCCTTCGGCCCTGCCTGAAGCCTTCACCTCGCAGGCTGCCGCGGGGCCCTTGGTCCTGCCCCGCTACGCCCGTCCCGCCCTGTGGTCCGCAGCGTGGCTAGGCCTCGGTTTTACATCCGTGTTTAGTTTCATTCTATCAATTTCTCGAAACCTTTTTGATAACCGTGTTGTGCTAGTCGGTTGGACTCGGTACATCAAAGTGGATTTAGCGACGCCTCTTCAGTACAATTAAGGGACTTATACATCCTGCTTTTCCTCTACTCACATGGGCCTATCCTTGAAGGAACGAGGTGGGAGGAGTCTAAGCTGGCGGTGACCTCACACCAGGAACCTGAGCCGTGATCCTTCGCACCCCCTTTTCCTCCCTTTTGGCCCAAACCTGGACTCGTTTATTTTTAAAAGGTTGCCCACACTGACAAGTCAGCTACCTGAATAGTCACCATCTTTAATATATTGAGAAATGACTGATCCGTTGTAAAACCACTTTAGTCTTACTTGCTAATAGGTTTCCTTGCCGACCCTGGGGGAGATAATAGGCAGTTGAATAAGCAAGGTGAACCTAAGTGCAGGTGTGAGGTCTGGACTAGAGACAAGAATGTAGTCGGCGTATGAGTGGTGAGACTGGATGAGACCTTAATAAACGCAATTTGTGCAACACTGGAATCATGAGTCAGTGGGGCGGGCACTGGGGAAGGGATGAACTGTGGAAGATACCGCGCAGCCCTGCTGAAGGCCACAGAAACTGCTCCGGGATTTACTGTGGATGTGGCTGGACGCTCACTGTGGGCCTTTTCTGCTCGCCGAATCTCTTCTGTGTCCATTTCCTGGGTTCTCTGTTACGTACAGCCCATGCTCAGCACTATGGCCAAGCTGTGAGTGAAGTCCGCCTGCAGAATTGCCAGAGCCTTCCAGTGTGGCCGGCTCCATCTGTTCCTCATCTCAGTGTTTGGGTGGTGGTCCTCACCACCTCTCCAAATTCTTTTTTGTTCCACCCACTTTGAGCTTCCCTAAAAAAGCATAATTTAGAAGAGTTTCCAATACAGGTCATCTCCGTAACCTTCCCCTGATCTGCAGACCCTCCTATCCAAACTCGTACTCAACATACCTACTTCAGTACGTAATGGGCATATCAGAAGCTCCTAAATAGATATCTTGACTCAGAAACACCAGATCTGTTCTTCCATTCTTGTCCACCATAATCAACACGACAATTTTCCCAGGGGCTTGGGTCAGAACCTTGCAGTCCTGTCCCACCTGGCTTTTTCACAACCTATAGCCAATCAGTTTTGTGCTCTAAAGCAGATGGCTGTTCACTGCTTCCTCTGCCATTCTCTGGGGCAGGCCACCATCAGTCACCTTTTGTATGGATGACCTGTCGCCACTACCTAGCCTTTTGCTTTCCTCTAGACAAACACCCCCGTAGTTTTTTCCCTATCTAGTAGCAAGAGTGGTCTCAGGTCTGCCCTATGTTCCGATGACGCAGTGCCCACCCATGGTCTCCAGACTCAGGACCAGTGTCTTAGCACAGCCCAGAGGGTCAGCAGCCATTTCGGGCTGCGTTCCTCTTCAGGGAGGCCTTGCTGTGCTGACACCTGAGAGTCCCGACAAACCAGGACACATTGGCCAACCTCCCGGGGAGGCTCCACCAGATGTGGTCCTCCGCTAGCCTCTGGCCTCCTTCTCCCGTGTTTCTTTCTCTTTGCTGACCTTACTGTTTCTAGAACAAACCAAGCACTTCCACCATCAGAGCCTGTGCACTCACTCGCTTCCCAGAAGTGTGATTCCAAATATCTGTTTGAATGATAACCTCATTTTATTCAGGCCTCTGCTCAAATACCCATGGTACAAGAGCTTCCCTAACCACCCTTTGTAAACAATAACACTCTTCTGCCCGTTTAAAGAAAAGAGTATACAATTATATCAATAAATCTCCTATCATCACGCCTATATCTATAAATCTCCTACCGGGAAATAATATATTTGAAATTTTGTGTTGTTCTGCCTCTCATGGACAGCAATTTCTTGTAAGTGGGGGCTTTGTTTTGTGCTTGAAGCATCCGGTTCATCTAAAACAGGGCTGGTGTCTGACAGGCAGTCGAGGTCGGCCTGTTGAGTGAATGCATGCAGAAATCCAAGTACTCAGACCACACCAGGTCCTTGGAGTGCTGGCCTCAGCTGATCCTTTCCCGTCCTGGAACTGAGCGTAAGCTGTCAGCACACAAGTATGCTCTGGGAGATCTGCGGGAGGATGAAGGGGTGCATGCCAGGCAGCGTTGTTATCCCAAGCAAGCTCTGTGTGAGCACTGGGATGGGGGAGGCTCAGAGGTGCCCCCCGGGACCGTGGGGATGAAAACACAGTGTGATGCTGTCGGCAACTCCAAGGGCTAAAAGGACCAGGCAGGTGGTAACATCCCTGGCAGCCGCCCCCCTCAAGTATATATAGGAAATCTGCACCCACACTGACTGGTCTGGACAGGAGGGGATTCTCATTTGCTCACTCATGCTCCCTGGAATCGACAAGTTTCTGGTGCATTCTATTCACTCCTTATCTCTTGGAGGAATACCAGCTAAGGACACAAGATGACCACCCTCCCTGTTTGGCTCACTTTGTTCCTCTGAATTCTCCATTCCGTAAGCATGACCTTTTCTCCATCACTGATTTTAAATTAAACCAAGCAGGGCACGCTTGTCATCCTCTAAGAAACCTTGGAGCACGATCGTCGGGTGCTACATGAGGGCCCCAAAGTGCAGGGGAGACGGTCTTGGCTGAAGCTACTGTGCTAGGGTTGAAATCGGCCCTCTGGGAAAGGGCGATGAAGCTTGCCATTGCCTCTTCAGACAAGGTCTTTTGTACTAGCCACCCTCGAATGAGCTCACGTCTCTTCGAGCTGTGCAGCCTGACATACCACAGAGCACTGCACTGGATCAGGGATGTCCTTTAAAACTCAGCCTAGGACTGACCAGGACAGCCGCATTTCCACACGCCCACGGGAGGCCCTTCCCAACGTCCACCCAACTAACCGTACAACTCAGGAACGAGAGCAGGAGTCGTCACCCTAACTCCCATTGGCAAAGTGGGGAGAAAGTACGCAGAACTGCTTTGGGATAACATAAAGGGTCTTTTGCCCCAAACCAGCGTCCTGCGTCTTCTGAGACTGAACCCAGTGTCCAATTCGTACTTTCATTTATGGGCACTATCATTTCAGTACGGTAATGGCGACAATCCCGGCGCTGCTCTCGAGTAATGGAGCAGTTAGCCACTGCCATTTCACGATCTGCAAAACCTCGAACTCAAGCGCCTTGCAGCCTCCCACGTCCCTCCCCACGGGCCTCAGGGACGATTAGCGCATCGGCTGCGATAGGCTGCTGGCTAGGGCCGCGCCCCGGGATTGGTCGGCCTTTCCCTTTGTTCCCGGAGCCAGCGCGGACCCGGTCCCACTGGGCACTCCATAGCTGGGAAAGGCGGGCTCCCTACCCGCGCCGAGGACGAGAAGCAAGGCTGTCTCCGTCACGGACTTCGGGACACCCGGGCTCGGGCCGACCACTTCCCCACCACGACCGCGACCCCGTCCCGCACGGCGGTATTACCCCAAAACCACCCTCCGAATACACAGGAGCCGGCAGAACTATCGTCACAGCCCTTCTTGAGCAGGTGGGCGGCCCTGAAAAGGGCCTTTGGTTCGGAATCGAGAAACGCCGTAGGAGGCAGCACCTCAGCCGCCGAAGCCGTAGAGGGTGCGGCCCTGGCGCTTGAGCGCGTACACCACGTCCATGGCCGTGACCGTCTTGCGCTTGGCGTGCTCGGTGTAGGTGACGGCGTCCCGGATCACGTTCTCCAGGAACACCTTGAGCACCCCGCGGGTCTCCTCGTAGATGAGGCCGGAGATGCGCTTGACGCCGCCGCGCCGGGCCAGGCGGCGGATGGCCGGCTTGGTGATGCCCTGGATGTTGTCGCGCAGCACCTGGCGGTGGCGCTTGGCGCCGCCCTTGCCCAGGCCCTTCCCGCCTTTGCCGCGACCAGACATGTTTCCTCAAAGCAACCCAACAGCAACTGAAAGAGCCCGGCAGCGCTGGTCCTTATATATCTGCAGCTCGCCCCCCCCCCCCGGCGCGGGAACGGGAAGCGCGCAGGCGGGGACTCTGACGTCACAGTCCCCGCCCTTCCGCTCTCCGAGCAGGGGAACTCGAGGGGCGGAGCCACCCCCGGGCGTTACCGTTGAAGTTTGCTAGCGTAGCGGAGCTGCACCATTGTGCTTGAATAGAGCTAGGATTGGACACCCTGCTCCCGAGACTAAAAAGTCTCACAAACTCAACATAGCTCGTGTGATTTGGAAGTCGGACGGAAAAACACACTGATTTACCGGGTTAACTCCTAAAGGCTTGATAGTACCCGCGTTTTCTGAGAATTGCTCTGAAACTGGCTTAATGCTCTTGAACCTGTTAAGTCTACTCTAGTCCCTCAGACTTCTCTCCTCCACTGGAAGCAAATAGGTCAACAGGAAACAACCCTGGTCGATTTTACGTGCAGTCATTAAGATGCCCAAGGTTTGGGGACGGGACGGGGGGGGGGGGGGGGGGTTTTACACAC